GCTGGATTTGCCTTACAGATGAAGAAAGGGCTCATGTTCTATGAATCCTTAATCTTCTTGGGGAACCCCTCCAGCTCTCTGAACCAATTCTGCATCTCTTTTGGTTTGTTTGTTCATTTTGGTTTGAATTTTTTGTATATTGTTCTCTTTTCTTCTAGGTTGCAGATCATCCTTTCGCTTGTCATTGCTGTCATGACCAGCAAGATCATAGCAATAGTGACCCTAGTGTTCTTCACAAGAATGAGGAAGAGGAGCTCACAGTGAAGGCATCTAGATAATGGTAAGCTTCCAATCATAGTGCCAAAAGAACAAGTCATTTCTGGAAGAGAAACCAACTGCCTGGTGGGGATGCAAGTCATGTGGGCTTTTAGCCAAAACCAGAGCAGGTCCCTTCTCATCCAAGCTTTTCCACTGGGCAAGATCCTATAATTGAATCCTGTTCAGAGAAGCAATGAAATAGATCAAGACAGGTCACAGATACCAACAGGAACACTGAGATGCTGCCCTTGATCAGAGTGATAAGAAAGAGAGGAATGAAGAGGCTTGGGGAATAAACCTGTGCTGTGTAGAGACAGGCTTTGCTTCTTTTTCCCTGTGTCTCTTGAATTCCTCAATGACCAGCAAGATCATAGCAATAGTGACCCTAGTGTTCTTCACAAGAATGAGGAAGAGGAGCTCACAGTGAAGGCATCTAGATAATGGTAAGCTTCCAATCATAGTGCCAAAAGAACAAGTCATTTCTGGAAGAGAAACCAACTGCCTGGTGGGGATGCAAGTCATGTGGGCTTTTAGCCAAAACCAGAGCAGGTCCCTTCTCATCCAAGCTTTTCCACTGGGCAAGATCCTATAATTGAATCCTGTTCAGAGAAGCAATGAAATAGATCAAGACAGGTCACAGATACCAACAGGAACACTGAGATGCTGCCCTTGATCAGAGTGATAAGAAAGAGAGGAATGAAGAGGCTTGGGGAATAAACCTGTGCTGTGTAGAGACAGGCTTTGCTTCTTTTTCCCTGTGTCTCTTGAATTCCTCAAGAGCAGCTCCTCCCACTACACCACACTTGGCTGGTGGGGCTGACATACGATATCACTTCATACCTCCATGCTGTCTGAGTCCCACACAGTCTCAAAGCAGGCACCCTATTAGCTTCTCTCCCTCTGTTCCTCAGCACCAACCATTCTGGTATGAATTTCCCCCTCAATACAACTCAGAGGAAAACATTTTGCTTAAGAGAAGAAGCCTCTGCCATGGCCTAAATACCCCAAACACAAAAAGCCTCCCTTTCACCAGGCTAGCTGGGCAGTTGGTATGGCCAGTCAGTCTGGCTCCTGGAGGTTCCTATGATTCTGCAAGGCACAGTAAGTGTTCACCCCCATCAGGAAACATTAGTCTCCTTTTCCATTGCTGGACTGAAGTATGAACACAACCAGGCTAACAGACATTTAATGTAAGACTTTCCCTTCTTCCCATCCATGGCAGGAGATACCAGGAGAGGAGGAAGTTCTGAGAAAAGCTCACCTGATAGCCTGTGCCAAAAGCAGCTCAGTGCTCCTGGTTGAAGAAGTCTCTTCCAGCAAGCCAGAACACAAACTACCACCCCACTGCCACCCTGCCAGCCTCACCTGAGGCCAGCCTTACATTTCTCCCTGCCTGTAATGCAGCAAAGTAAAAAGGGATTTTGAGAGACAGAATAAAACAGCTTTGTATTGCCTCATTTAATGCTCTCTTTCCTCCTCCTCTTTCTACTCTTTCCACCTCCAGCCCAGATAACAGCCTCACCTCCTCATCTCCTCTTGACCAGTGAAGAAGAGGGGCAGGCTGGGAGGAGACCAAGGGCACCATCTGCTATTGAAGCAGCCCTCAAAGCCCCAGCTGGGCTCTGCTGACAGCATTCCTGTCCTGCCAGGTACCCCCTGGGAGCAGCCCTGCTAGTGCAACAGAGCAGGGTCTCAGACTGGGGTACTCACAATTCCCACAGAGATCAGGAAACACTCTTGGCTTCCCCAAGGTCACCTGCTACAGAATTCTGTGAGGCTGCCCCATAGTAAAGAAAATTTGCAAATGCCAAACGGTTCTGGTCTGGATTCTCCAGCTGGGCACTCTGGGGACAGACACCACGAGGCACAAGGGGACTGGCTGTGGTGGTGGAGGAGATCAGGGACCCCAAACAGTATGGCCCTTGAGAGGGTCCACTCAGACACAGCTCTGGACTCATTGCCACCCTCGCTGCCTTGGAGGACACTTTCCAGGCAGGGGCTGGGCAGAGAACAGCTTGGGAGCCCAGAGAGAAGGGCTAGACCAGAGCAAAGGACCTGCTCCATCTCCATGGCGAGGGACAGCCATGGAGTGTTCCCCTGCCACTGGTGTGAGGGCAGAGCAGCAAAGGACCAGGGGAGAGCAGCAAAGGGCCTTTGCCATCAGGACGGGCTGAGCTCCGCTCTCAGCCACTTCCTCAAATCCCCCCGAAATTATCATACTATCAGTCTTGTTGCAAAACAGGGTGAAGGGTTTCCGTAGGAAAGCAAGACCTCAGGCACTTCCCCCAGCAGCGTCACCGCGATGCGGAAGGGCTGGCAAGGCAGGCGCTTGGGAACAGGATGCGCGGGGCAGCCCCCAGCAATGCTCCTGCCCTGGGCCTGAGGATGGCCATGGAGCTGAGAGTCCTCCTGCAGCTTCTGCTCTGCTTCCCAGGTAAGAGGAGGGCTGGCAATGCCTCGGGCTTCCCACACGCCCAGGGGCACTGGGACACCTTTCCCCAGCTCCCACTGCCTGTGGAGCTGCACGGTGGGGGGGATCCCACACCGGCAGGACTCTGAGCTGAGCAACTCACGGCAGGGATGCAGAGGGAAGGGGCAGCCCCAGTTCCCACCAGTGCTCTGTTGAGGCTTGAGGGTCCAAACCTTTCCCTTACCACATCTGATATTACAGGTCTCCATGCTCAAACAATCATTGATGAGGAAAGCCGACCAGAAGGAAGCACTTTCTTCCTGCAGTGTCCTTACGCACCTCAGGTCCGGAAGAACCAGAAAGCCTGGTGCCACAACAGAGATGGACAGTGTGAGATCATAGTGCAGACGACCAATCCAACACAAGACTGGTACACAAAAAAGGCCACAAATGGGAAAGTTACAATAGAGGACAACCCCAAACTTGGGACGGTGTCCATCAGCATGACTAATCTCCAGGCAGAAGACTCAGGCACATACTACTGTGCTTACATAACCCAAGGTTTTGGGTATCAACCACTAAAGATGATCATTCTCCATGTTTACAAGGGTGAGTACCATTTCCCCACAAAACATCCAGCCCCTCTTTCTTCCCCCTGTCCCCTGCCCTGACTGACGGGCTGCCCATGAGGGAGTTGCCCAGGGCAGAGTTTGTCCCAGGTCTCCAGAGGAGGCCAAAGGACTGATGCCTGTGTGCCCATCACTCGTGGGTCAGTGACCACATTTGCTGTTTGGCAGAGGTGCAGAAGGATGAGCTGGACAGTTTCTCTGTGCAGATCAGATACAACAGCCATGTGCTTAGCACAGATACAATATCCTGGTGTCGAAGAGAAGGTGAGACTGTGTGTGTTCCCTTGGTGAGAAGTCAGCTCTATAAAATACGGGGTAACAACAAACCCATGGAAGACAGAGTCTCGATCCAGGATGACACCTGGGAAAGGACTGTCACCATCACCATGCAGAAGCTGCAGGCCCAAGACACTGGTGTCTACTGGTTTGCACACTACAGAGGCTCTCATTACTTCACAAACCTGGAGGTCAGGCTGTCTGTGTCCAAGAGTAAGTACCTACTGGCAGCCAAGGGTGGATGTGGGCAGATTTCAGTTCCACCTCCCCTGCTTGCTTTCCCTCCCCTCCTGCTCCACAGCACCAGGAGCCCAGCACTGCCTCCCCACAGCCACTGCCACGTCTCCCTGTCTGTCCCTCTCTGGCAGACACATGGTGGCTGCCCCTTGGGCCTGTGGGGACAAGGCTCAGGCCTGGCCCTTCTTGCTCTGTCTGCTCCCAGCAGAGGGACACCTGGGAATGTTCCCATGAGCTCCCACAGATCTGGACACTCTTCACAACTGCTTCCCACATGGCTGACCCCGGGGCTCCAGGGACACCTTCCCCAGCTCAGGACCCAGCTGGCCCACCCTGCTGGAGACCTCCCCCAATTGCTCTGGGCTCACAGCTGACACCCCTCCCTGGTCCTTGGCTACTAAACCCTCTGGGCTGAGCGCCTGGAGCATGTGGCCCCTGGGGGAACCAGAGGAAGAGGACAGGTCCCCACCCAATTTGTGACTCACCTCTGCACAAGTAATCTGGGTAATCTGCTCCCATGTCTGGAGGTAGATGGACATCCAGGGAGCATTCAGCCCACTGCGCACATTCCAGTGAAGGGGAAGGGCTGCCACTGTGCCAGCTTTGGGATCTCACCAAACATGTCTGGTGTTTTCCAGGGACACAACATTACACAGCCAAGGAGTTGGGCAATGTCTCTGTTCAGTGTCCATACAGCGCCCCCTACTATGGGGCTCTGAGCAAAGCCTGGTGCAAAGTGGGAGACAGGGAAACATGCACCACACTGGTCTCCACGGATTCAAGGCCCTCAGAGAATCGCCAGAAAGGCGAGCATGACAGAGTCATGATCTGGGATGACACCCAGCAGGGGATTGTCACCATCACAATGGAGGAGCTGCAGGCACAGGACTCTGGCATGTACTGGTGTGTGCTCAATGATTCACGTCGTGTTTTCCGAATGGTAGAAGTTACACTCAGTGTTTTGGAGGGTGAGTACTGAAGGGAAACATGGTTGGTTTTAGGTTCCAGACTCATTGTCTCTCTAGACAGTGACTCTGCCTGTAGACTCTGCACTGCCCAGCTTACATCACTTCCCACCTTATATCTGGATGTGTTTCCCTGTCCAAACCCTACTGCACTGTTCCTTCTCACTCATCCTAATTTCTACTGCCAGGTGTCGGGGTGGGTTCAGACACAGCAAGGATCCTTCTGACCTCCTTGCACCTCCTCCCCTTTTCCTGTTGCCAGCAGGTCTCGTTGACACAGGTTACAGTCTGGATAGCTTGTCTGTGCTGGGTGTCTCTTTGGGAGGGGGGCTGTGTCCATCTACCAAGTGCAGGGAAGTTTCTCTGGTAAATCCAACAAAGTCCAGTAGTGATTATTCTTCTCTTCATGTTTCTGATTGCAGTATTGGCTGGAACATCTTTGCCAGGTAATGCAGGCATAAGTCACACAACCCCTTCTGCCAACACCTCAGCACCAAGGTAAGGTCTAGAAAATCTCTGAGCTAGAACACATACAAGAGTTAGGAATGACTCATCTACAGTTGGCCTGTCTCCCAGAGTGAGAAATCTCTGGGCATTCAGAGAGCTCCTGCTTATAGAGGAATTAGGTATGACAGGCACTCTTACCAAAGATGGCCTCTCCTCTTCCAGCTCCTGCTCACAGTGTAATTACAAAGGGAGAGCCGACTGATGAAATCATCTTTCTGGGACGTAGAGACCTATCAACTTTTTTCTTTAATTATTTGGGCTCTGCTTTTTACAGTAATAGAACTCCTCAGATTCTGCCTCTAAGTCTGCCTTTCTCAACTTTGTTCACTCCTGACCATGAACAGTTAACAGTTATGCTCCTATTAACCTGGCTGATAATTGTAAAGGAATTTTTTCCTCTTTAGACATCCACTGTCCTGAACACAACAGCAGCACCAAACAGCACAACCATACATCAGCTCCCAGGGCACCAAGTGCAGGAAAGCACAGGGGGAAAAGGCAGTACGCACTCCAGAGAGCCTGGGATTGTGTCCTGAACTTTGAACAGTGCCCTGTTTTAAAATCCTGCATAAACTTTAGGAAAAAAATCAGCCAGGTAGAAAACAAGATAGTATTGCTACAGGAGAAACATATTGTCCTTCTGAGTGCATAAAAGCTATTCCTGTGCCTTTTTTTGTCACTATTTGTTAATGGCCTGTGCCAGCATCATGCTATGCTGCCATCTAACATGGGTAACTCCTTTGCTCCCCCAGCTTCAGCTCTAATGTAAACACCTTCATCCTACTCTCTGTGGTCCTGAGCCTCCTGTTCATCCTCGTACTCATCAGCTTGATAACACTGTGTGTCAGGCGGCACAAGCAGCTGAAGAGAAGAGGTATGTGGAGACTGGTGATGCCTCATGTTCTAGTCTGCACTAAACAGGGCTTTCTCTGGCCATCACTTTTCCATTCCAGATGAGCTTATTCCCAACTCGCAGTGCCCTGGAGACAAGGCAAGTGCAGCCATGGAAGCCTCAAGGAAGGCTCCTTGCTGTGATCTCCTCTCAACAAAAAGTAAAGCCCATGTTCCTCCAGACTATGCAGAGGACACTTCCTAACACCTTAGAGGAGAAGAAAGGTGAAAGCAATGTGTTCACCAGATTCAGGGTAGATGGGTTGCACTGACACACCCATCACCTCTATCCCTGAGCAATCCCACAGCCTTCCACCAAACTCCTGAAGCACAGGCAAACTCAGGTATTTCATGAACTTCTCTACTTCTAAAATCTCTGATTTTGGCTCATTCCAAGGCACCAGACAAGCAGAGGACATCTATGACAAGCCAGAGGACACAGCACAGGTAAGGAAAACAATAGATTTGCCTGGGGGTCCTGGTAGATAGGAGGATGACCATGAGCCAGCATTGTGCCCTTGTGGCCAAGAAGGCCAATGGCATCCTGGGGTGCATTAGAAAGGGTGTGGTTAGTCAGTCGAGAGAGGTTCTCCTCCCCCTCTATTCTGCATTGGTGAGGCTGCATCTGGAATATTGTGTCCAGTTCTGGGCCCCTCAGTTCAAGAAGGACACGGAACTGCTTGAAAGATTCCAGCGCAGAGCTACAAAGATGATTAAGGGAGTGGAACATCTCCCTTATGAGGAAAGGCTGAGGGAGCTGGGTCTCTTTAGCTTGGAGAAAAGGAGACTGAGGGGTGACCTCATCAATGTTTACAAATATGTAAGGGGTGAGTGTCAGGGAGACGGAGTTAAACTTTTCTCAGTGATGACCAGTGATAGAACAAGGGGTAATGGGTGCAAATTGGAGCATAGGAGGTTCAAGGTGAATATCTGAAAACAGACTGCCCAGGGAGGTTGTGGAGTCTCCTTCACTGGAGACATTCAAAACCCACCTGGATGCATTCTTGTGTGATGTGCTCTAAGTGACCCTGCTCTGGCAGGGGGGTTGGACTAGATGATCTTTTGAGGTCCTTTCCAACCCCTAGGATTCTAGGATTCTATGATTCTTTGAAGTGTTTTCCCTTTCTTTTCATAGCTTGACAGCACTGAAAGAATGGAAAGTCCCAAGGTTGACAGCAAAGACCTACAATATGTTACCCTGAACTTTAAATCTCAACTGAGCCCTGAGGATCCTGTCTACTGCAATGTCGATTCAAGTAAGACTCACAGGAAACCTAAAGACGAAAATGTGGAATATGCTACCATTGCACTCAAGCAGTTACCAACAAATAACAAAGGATAAAGCACAGAATCCCAAAACAATCCAGAAATGGCAGAAAAGAACTGGAATACAAAGTGGGAATGGGGAGGAGATGAACACTGGGGAAAGACCTAAGTTTTTGCTTCCATGTGTATGTTGCCTATGCATTTTAAGACCTCCCTCCTATTAGAAACCAGCAGAGAATTTTGCCACAAGTGTGCAGATTCAATCAGGTCAGACAGAGGTGCTGGGTATTTCTCAGGATCCCTTGCACATCTGCCTTCTTCAATCCCATTAAAATGCAGACTCTTTTGGAGAGGCAGGTGTGAAGGACCGACAATTTGAAAAAGAGCAAGATTTGTCTGGCTGTGGGTGGGTTTGGTATTTCAGCTCTGTTCACTGGTGGAAACTCTATCCCACTTCTCCACTTGCAAGGTTCAGCTACTACGGCCAAGCAAACTCATTCCAGTGCTGTAAGGATAAAACTCTAATATTGCTGAGAACAGGTTCACTCGCCATGTAATGAATGGGGAAAATGTGCACTGGATTATAGGAAAAAGCAGAACCAGCATCTGCCTGAAGGCAAATATCTTGGGGGTGGGTATTGCAACAGGATGATATGCTGCTTTGCAAACTGAGGATTGTGCTACATGAACCTGAGCACCAGAAGGTCATGTATCTATGAAATGACAAGGGTGCTTAGAAGTCATACATACACTTTTTTTAGACTTAATGCTAATTCTACTATAACTGAAATGTATCTGTCTGCTTAGGTAAGAAGTAAGAGCATAAGAGGCTTTCAAAATAAATCTAAATGTTTAGCTGTAGATCAAGAAATAGACTGTGCATCCTGGAGCTTGAGGGTAGGAGGGATGAAGGTGATGGCATGTATGGGTATGTGTGCAAGTGTCCCTTTAGGGAGTGCAGAGGCTTCTGGGATGGATTCAGTGTGGCTGCTGTGGATTACACTACCGGGAGCCTCCAAAACTGTACCCTCTGGACAGCTCAATTATTTCCAAGCTTGAGGGCTGAATTTCCTCTCAGGGTCATCCACAGCAGCTGCCACAGGAACACTGGACTGTCTGGGACCTCATCAGACTCTGCTACCCTGAATAATCATTCCATAAACTATAAAACATGTTTTTCCAATGCACTTGGTCTCTTGCCTTCATTGGTATGAGGCATCTTTTCATCTCTTCTGGAGTTCCTATCCAGCCAGTCTCTGATGTGGCTCTGTTCTTTTGCAACACTGTCCTGTACTTTAAACAGCCCTTCCCAGCCTATTCACCAGTGCAGCTGGTTCCTTGTGAGTTCCTTGGAAGACCAAACCAGCACGTGTGCTTCCAGAACATTTTTTGGCTACACCACAGAAAACAAACTTCTGTGGCTTCTAGTGTCACAGGAGAGAAATGCATGTGTAGTTTCATGGGAGAGCTCACCAGAGCCTTGGAAATGGATACCATTACTTCCCTCTCTGTGCTGAAAATACTTCAAATGACACATTTGCTGCCTTTATTTAGCAATCATGTGGGGAGCAACATGAGATGAGCCTGCTGGGGCTCAGCTCAATTTCTCCAAAAGCCCAGAAACCTGGTACTCTGTTTGGTTGCAGCAAGCTCTGCAGACAAATGGCAAATTAAAGGGGCCTGACCCACTCCCTGTTCACAAGCCAGTCAAATCCAACAGGCTTCTCCTGCTCTGGCTAGAGCAGGGAAGCTGAGCAATTTTTTGAGATTTTCAGAGTTGACATGTTTAACTTGAAATGACAGAAAGAAAATAAAATGGTTCTGTAAATGGTTCATTCAACCCAAGACTCCCCTATTTGCTCTTCATGCAGTCAGTTACACTGAGTCAAAAAGTGGAAGAGAGAGAAAACAATGTAGTAAAAGAGACGACTCTGGGGAGACAGTTGCTTCTGATCAAAGAGAATCCAGTAAGCCACCCACAGCACACCAGTTTGCTAACACTAAAGTAGGCTCCCTTAACTGCAGTGCTGACCAGTGGGCTCTGCATCAATGCCCCCATTCCTTGATCTTATGTCCTTTCTGCAAGGTATAAAATAAGGGTGTCTGTTTTACTCATCTAAAGCACCTCACAGCTTCACTCAGCAGTGTTCTTGTCTTCCTGACCCTGGTTACATGTTAAATAAGGATGCTCCATGCACAGGCTCTTCTAAACCTCCTTTCCCCTGAAGATGAACCCCTGAAGATTATGATGTCCTTGCCCTCTCTTCACCCCTTTGATGCTGACCAAGCTACCTGCCAAGTCCTGATGAGAACCACTCTTCAGCTTTCCAGAAAGTCCCCCCAAGCAAAGCTTGCATGGAAAGCCTGCTCTGTTGGGCAGCACCAGGGCTGAGCTCAGAGGGACTCCCAGCACCATGGTTTCAGGCCATCACATGATGCTCTCTTTCAGGCTGTCTAGACTAAATCGTGGCTGTCAGTGGGCAATGCTGATGCCTGAAGAGGGAAATGCCCACAAGAGAAATGCCTGTCCCTGCTGAATTGTGCAATATGCAGGATGAAAAAGATGCCAAGTTCCTGTGCTCATTCCTTCCGGCACAGCAAGGCTGGGAGGAAAGCAAAGCAGTTCTTGGGCAAGAGCCCTTCTCACTTTTCTCCAGACTCCACTCTTGCCCCTTCTCTGCTCAACTGTTATGGAGAAGCTCATGCACTTCCTCTTCTTGGTCTTCTGCTCAGGTAAGAAAGAGTACATGGCCTTGGGTTTCAGCTAACAGAGAGGGTAAAAGATTTGTGCAAAACTACCTGCACCTGGTATGAGATTACTGAAAATGCAGGGAGAAAATACTGCACGGGGCTTGAAACACAGCAGCGCTTCCCAGATGCAAAGGCATCTTTGCTGTAGAGTGCAGGTCTTTGGAAGATCAACAGAAACATTTCTTATGGATAAAATGTCTTACTGCCTGTCTATACACTGCAAGGTCCAATGCAATGCAAGGTGAGGGAACCTGAAGCAGTGCAGTGTATCCTGTTGTCCTGCCCTCTCCTCTTCCTCCCCAGCCATACTGCAAGGATGTCAGAATCCTTTCTTGGACTTTGCCCTTTTTCCTTAATTTAACTAAGGGCCAGTGGTGATCCAAGTGCTCAGTTTTTCAGGGATCCTTTTGTGTCAGAACAGGAAGCAGTTCACAGAAGTCTTGTGTGCCTTCTCAGAAGGAAATGTGAAATGGCAAAATCCTTTCTGTTTGCTTTTGTGTGCCTTTGAATGTAAATTGCAGCATCTAGGGTTCCAGAGGATGAAACTAAAGCTCAGTGAAGGGGACACCTCTGAAATATTGGGCACTTGACTATTTTCAGCCTGGAAAGTACTGAAATGAGAAACAAGGCACAGGACACAGCTGGTGTTCTCTCTCCAGCCACACTTTGGGGACCCTATAATTGCAGCAGTGCAAGGAAGGCAATGGATTCAGGCTTTGGGAGCACAGAAACCTGTCTCAAAAACCTGAATTAGTTTGGAAAAAAGTCCTTTATGTTTTTTTCAGTAGCACACAAGAAAGGAGGTGGAACACAAATCATAACTGATCTATCAGCAGAACTGGTTGAAAAGATAATGACACAAAACTTTCCACAGGGGCATCAGCAAATCTTTAAATGCCATGATTCTGATCAAGGAATATTTTGCAATGTTTTTTTTAATTAGAACAAAATCAAAACCCCAAACCCCAGGGCTGTTGGAGAGCACAGATCCATTTTTACACCACCTTTTAATCAAGCCCAAAAGATCTTCAGATTTTTTAGTTTACAATTCACTTTGAATAGTTGAAATTATTTTTAAAACTCTTATTAAAAGGGTCAGTCACCATGAAGTCCTCATAAAAGCCTGTTTTTTACTTTACTCTGTTGTATCATTACTTATGGTTTCACAGAAGGCACTTCTGAGTTTTTTCACTAGGAGTACAGAGATTTCCTCAAGCACCACACTGCACTTCTCTCTAGAAGTATTAATAGCTCAGACTGTCCCCTCTGCCTTTGCTTACCATAAAAAGGAATGGAAATTAGAAATAAGGAACCAAGGCAAAAAGCCACCCAAATCCCACCAACAAAAAAACAACAAACAAGCAGCCAGTTGTCAACTAATTAAAATTAGTAGGATATTAAAAAAATAATAATTGCTAAAACCCTGGACTTAGAAATTAGGAGGGAGATTAAGAAGTAAACTCCTAAACAGCTACCTGGCTCCTGGTTTGTAGGTGTCACTGTGATGGTAGCATTTTCCAGTGCTGTGTTTTTCAGTCTGTCTGTGTAAAGAGCCTTATATTGGGGATAAACTTCATGGGCATTTATTGCAAAGGATGTTTTCTGTAGCAGAAGGTACTCCAAAGCTAAATTTCCAACTCTGAATGTATGTGGAAGGGCTGAGCTCAAGGCCAAAACCTGAAGCAAGGTGCCTTGTTTCAGCTGTATGCAAGGAAGCAGGATGCAGGTTGCACAGCAGGGGTGTTACAGCAGGACCCATCTAGCCAGAGTTAAACAGAAACAATCTACCAGTATTGGGTCAAGCTCTGTTTTTTATGAGCTTCCTTGTAAAAAGAGCTTGTAAAAATCAAAACGCTTTGCCTGATGCCAACTCGATTGACCTGAATGCCCAGCTTCATGCTCCTCAGGACCGAAGAAAATGCAAGTTCTATTTAATGCCCTAATCATGCTGACAAACTGCTTCCCCTTACTGGGCATGAGCTCAATGATTACAGAAAGTGTGATGGGGTTGAGCTCCAGCCTGTAATCCAGCGCAATCAGCACAGGGCCAGAAAGGAAGGCACGGACCAAAATTTCCTGAGCTTCAGAAAGCCTGGGAATGTTAATGAAACTGATACCTCCTCCTTTCTTCAGTCCCCACACAAGAACAGCCGCCTGGCAGGAGCCAAATAACACACTAGCCAGAGGGATCACTATAGACATATTTCAAGAAGTCTGAACCAAGGCTCTGAGCACACTGTATGGTTCCTGGGGGATGCAAATAGGTAACAGTCCTACAGTTGGCAGCACCCACCATGAGAGCTCTGAGAGAAAAAAAAAAATGACATTTGGCATAAACAGAGTGGAAAGGGAGAGTGGAAAGAGTCTTGGCTCACCACCTTCTCCTTCTCTCCTAGCATCCTGTGCTGCAGAGAACATCACTGTGGTGTACGGAATGGAGGGGGACACCATTTCTATCAACTGCACCTACAACCCCTGGCAGCAGCGCTGGAGAGAGAAGAGCTGGTGCAAGCAGATCGACCAGACCAAGTGCCAGCATGTGGTGAGCGCCCGACGCTTCTGGCTGCCGTTCTTGAGGAACAGGAATGGTACCACCTCTATCAGTGACAATGTCCATGATGGGGTCCTGACAGTGACCATGAAGCGACTCAAGAAGCAGGATGCTGGGCTGTACCAGTGCAAATCTGACTTCCTGGGGGAAAGAAACAGCTTAAGGAAGGTGCAAGTGGAAGTGCTGACAGGTACGTCCTGGGGCCCTGAGCTGCATGAGTTCCTGAGCTCCTACTTAAATTTCACATCTGCCTGCAGATGCCAAGTCCTCACTTTAGTAAACATCTACTTTTGCCTTACTCTAAGGAGGTACCATGTTTCATTGCCTCTTTTTAGTTCCTGATTTACAGCAACATGACCTCACCGTTACAGGACATCTAGCATCTGTCACCCCCTCACTGCTACCCCCATGAATCTTCCAGCACACAGCCCAGTGTTCAACCTCACCCTGGTTATCTGTGCCCAGCTGGGGCACTGGTGTTGGTGACACCTAGAAACATCCTCGGACTAAACTGTTCTGTTTCTACCATCAGCTGTCCTGGAGACCCAAATGCCAGAGGAGCCTAGTGCTGTGCAGAGCATCTCCAGGTAAGGCACAAAACCCCTTTTCATGCTGTGATCTCTAGGCTTCCTAGCACTAAGGCAGATTAGCATCAGCAACCCCATTTGAAGCTGAGAGGAATATCACCACAGGCATGTTATCTACCTCTTCCTAATACATGACAATTCTCAGAGCTGTTGTGTGGTTTCTAAACAGCATCTTTATACTAATCCAGAAAATGCAGTACTTCCATGCCAAGCAAAACAATAACTGCAGATCATCATTTACCCATATGTGATTATAGTTGTTCTAAACTCCCAGGCTCTGCTGTGCACCAGCAGGGACTGCCTGTTGCAGGAGATGTTGCCATCTACACATTGTGTACTGCAAGAGTTTATTTAAAGGTTGAACCATCCCCTTCTCTGTTCCCCACAGCATCCCACCTGAAGCTCATTTCACTGTCTTCTACATCATTGCTGGATTCCTGGTTACAAAGTTCATGGCGGTTGTGCTGATCTTCATCATTGGCTACAGCAGAAAGAGCAGAGACACAGAGCAGAAGAACCCAAGCTTGAATGAGCAGCAGGTCCTCTCTTTCACTGGTGACCTTGCACATCATGGAGCCAGCCCCTCCTGGGAGATCACTGCTTAGAGCCAAACCAAAGGGAATCCACAGAGGAATGAACAGTGAGCGTTTTCAGGCAAAGCTTTGCCTCCTGCCTAAGAAAAAGATCACCTTCTAAGCATAGGTAGCAATGAACCTATCACTCTAGAGAGAGAATGTCACCATCCACCACCTCTTCTCATTGGCACTGACCAACTTTTCCCAACACAACTGCACTGAAAAGATGCTGCCAGTAACACTGAACCTAATGGAAGAGGATGGGATCAAGAGCCAGGGGAAAAGGAGGAATATGAAATCTTTCTGTCAAAAGATCCACCACAGACTTATCTATGTGCAGAGATGTTTCCCCAAGCCTGATAGAGGTGAGAGAGCTCTGCTCAGTTTTCCACAGCTCATTGCTAGGTCTTTGTTGGTCTACACAGCTCCTGAAAATAATTTGTTATAAGTGTAACTACAGATACACCTATGACCGTAAGTAGAAGTTCAAGTAACACACCTCAATGACCATGTGTTGAGCAATTCACAAACACATCCACTTAATGTAAAAATGAAAAGACATGGTTCTGTCTCACATCTCCAAGAAACTTCTCCTTATTCACTGAAGATCAGTGTTAAAGAACTAATAGGGGTTTTTTTCAGTGTGTCCATCTTATTTCCAAAACCCTTGAATGCTTCCCTCAAAAGAATGAAATATAACCAGAACTAGATGGTTTATACGGAAAGCTAGTATTATTACTCATGTAGAAATCAGCTTTTTAACTGAGATTCCACTCTCTAAAGGCTGAAGCTTTTGACACACCTTTGCCAAGCCAATGCTCTCCTATCATCTCCAGTCACTGCCAGTAACCGCAGCACACCACCAGGCAGAGTTATTTCAGATACGTATCCCCAGTCTCATTCCACTGGGATGTGAACTGAGACCCATCAACTTCATGTCATCTCAGAGCAGTACCAAGTGACAGATTCAATCTTTCCAAGGTGAAGACCAGCTCTCAAGAATTGCTTTGGACAGTGTAGATTCTTGGTGAACAGTGACTGTGGAAAGGTGTGAAGAACAGCAGAACACAACAGAAAGGGATGTGAAGTCTATACGCAGTTCTGAACACACTTCCTCATTTCTCAAATGGTTTTGTGAACAAGGAATTTATTGTCTCTCTGTATTTCTCCCTGTATTTTTCTGTCCTTTCAAGGGGATGTTACCAGCATGTGATCATTGCTCATCACTCCCCAAAGGGATGCTGCATTTATCTCTCTCAGGAAGAGCAAACCCAAGGGCATTCACACTTCTCTTATTTGCACAGCCTACAAAGCTAAATAAAACCCAGCTGATTATCTGACTTGGTGTGGATTCACAATAGAGGGCTGAAGTACACCAGATCATAATACATCACCCAGAGCAGAGAGAACACTTAGAATATGCTGGTGTGTTTCCAATGTACAGAAATACTCTGACTGGCACATCCAGCCAGCTCCCTTTAGCATCACGTAGAAACAGCAGATCAGATCCTCAAACCAGATCAGGCTAAGCACGACTGTGCTCTGTCGAAACTAATTTCTGCTGTTTCCAGAGGGTGAATTAGCCCAGACACAGTCACACCCCACTGCAGCTGTGCTAACACACACCTACCTCCAGTATTCCCATCTGGTCCAGCAGTGCCCACCTGGATGTGCTATAAAACAAGGCAATTGCAGCTCTAACCAGGAGATCTGGGTCCTAGCTCCAGCTCCAACTTGTTAAGAGACCTCACGCAGGGCCATCCATTGCCTCTATGATCACATAGTCAGAGTTCTCCACCACTGTACAAGGGTTTTGGGAACAAGAGATATAAAACTTGCATGGAAGTGCAAAGCAGCAGTGAGGATGAACACATCCAGCTGGAAGCTGCTCCATAACACAGCAAGGTAGCGCTACAGACCAAAAATGCCTCTCTCTTTTCCAGCCACACAGCCTGATTGCTAAATATGGCTATCTAGACAACAATGTATTTCAAGTCAAAAAGCAGCCAGTAAACATTGTGCAGCCCTCCCAGCCAAGAAGTAATCTTGAGATTGCGGTTAAAAGATATTCTCAGCAGTTTCCAACTGGCATCACCACCCTAGGCAGCAGACAACTGCAAGTGACAGTGAGTTAACTTCCCCTGCAACGGAGAATTTCTCAGTGATAAAGAAGCTCTGGGGTACATTTTTTTCCTCTATGCCCTAAACCACTTTCTGCTTCAAGATGGGAGGCTTTCCAGCCCTGCTGCTCTTTCTGGCACTACTAGGTAAGGCTCAGAGACTCTTCATTTCTCCAAGGAACAGGATGCTCTCTGTCCTGTTGTGTGCACACTGCTATTTGACTGCAACAGCAGCCCTGGAAACTGACCCAGCCCACACTCAGGAGGGGCAGCACTAACTCAAATTTCCATTTGCTGCCCCAACCCCAGCTCCAGTCAAGATCCTCCTCAGACTGGGGTGGTTATTTCTTTGTCTTCTGCAAGTTCTCTTTATGCTGATGTCAGCTCTGCTCCTTTGTTGGGTGAGATGTACAGCACCACAGGGATTGTTTTTTCCTATCTTTTCTCCCTCTAATGAGTCATCACTCTTTTTTCTTTAGAACCTGTAAGGTTATTTGCAGAAACAAACCAAAAAAAAGAACTTCCTGTCCCTGCATTGGCCCTATTCTGTGGTAGCCAAATCAGGAAACTACAACATTTTATTTGGTGCAAAACGGTGACCCAAATTAGATGTCAACCTGTTATCAGAGATAACTCTGATCAAGGTATCATTAAAGTAGGGAAGACTGAAATGATTAATGACTTCTCATGGAAAATTATTAGAGTGTGGCTGAAAAAGCTCTTACTTAATGACTCAGGAGAATATAATCTTGAGAGCTGTTTCCAGGGGAGAAACAAACTACTGAATAGGAGCATGCTTGAAGTTTTGGGTGAGTTAATCAAAGAATTAATGATCTTCTAAAAGTCAGCAATTTCTTACAGCTTGACAAGAAATATTACAGGTCAATGTTAAAGAGCTCTCCTCCGAGCCTGGAAATTTCCTGAGACTCAGATAACTCCTGAATTTCTTTTTTTTAAACAGATTTTTGATACATACTGATGGTATAAACAAATTGCAGCCAGCTGGCAGGGGGAGCCTGGCTTGGTTTCATTGACTAATGACATTTTACATTTACATCAGCAGACAAAACAAACTCCAAGCAACCTGACTCATTGCCTTAATTTCTACCTGTGTTCATTTAATCTCATCTCTCTGCCATTGCTCATTAATAAACTTCTGTATTTTTTTAAACACTTTACTTCCTTTTCTGCCTTTAGCCAGAGCAGGAAGCAGAAAAACACAAGATACTTGATGGGAGCTGTTACTTCATTTTTCTGATGTGACTTGAAAATATGTGTGTGGAAGGGAACCACATCTGGTTTCAAAGATCCCTCCTTTCTAAGAGCACTGATGTGCCCAAATAAGCAACTCAGTTTTCATACCATTCTCTAAAGTGGTATGAATTTTCATGGCTGAGCTGTATGTACCCTTTACAAAACCTGTCTCCTAAAGGAGCTGTCCTTTCCCTTTGATCTGACACAGAACCAAAACTGGTAAGGAAAGAAGACCAAAATCTCATTTGTCCCTCTGCACATGATATAATTATCCAATAGGCAGGTTTTCCAAGGCATCATGCAACCAGGTATCAAACATTTTGCAAGAATGAAAAAAACAAACCAGAGGACCACAACCCAAAGGGGAAGAAAACTGGAATCAGAGTATGTCTGTTCTTGTCTTACTAGCTACTTACTACTGGCTCTCTGGCAGGGCCTACACTTGGTGTTTTCATTTAAATACACTGATAACAGGTACTTTAGGTTCAACAACCTAAACAAAACTCCCAGCTCTCACCTGAGGAGCTGGTTAATCCTATTCTTGTGATCCAACTGCTTTAACTAACCTTCTTTTACTGGTTAATAGCACAGGATGAACATCCTTATGCAGTTTCCCAATTTTACAGCCAAGAAGCAAGCAGTAACTCTGGACATTCTACAAAACCTGCAAAGCAGGATTTTCTAGCATGAGAAAAATTCACAAAGGATGGATTGACACAGTAAAATCACTTGCTCTTGTTTCGTTGTTTGTTTGTTGGTTTGTTTGTTTTTTTAAGGGGAAAATTGTAATCAGGAAGCAGACTTACAGACCACTGCATTTCCCACTAAGAAGGGGGATGTCACCAACTCCACAGATGACAGCAGTAAGGATCAGAGGTAAACACCACAGACTCCCACACTCCATGTACAGCATTCTGTCTGCACACAGGATTGGAGGAGCAGTGTGACAAACACCTGAGATGTGCATGCACACACATATACACACAAAGAGGCTTCCCCTTCTCCCCTGTAGAGTTTGGTCCAACTTCCCCCAGTCCCATGACATGCTGTAGAAGGTTTCTCTCATTTTCAAGAACACTAGGGGAGGCTTCTACTGAAGATGCTCAGTTTGACTGTGTTCGTAAGAACTCTATAGTCCATGCAATGCTACAAGGACTTTGCCTTTTGTACATGCAGAGCAGCCTAAGACCAATCCCAGCTAAACAACTTTTATGTCATATGAGAGTTATTACCAGGCCTGATCAAAGGTGAACCTATTAATGTTCCTGATCAAAGATAGACCATGAGAAGGGCTCCTGCATCCTGATGAGGGATGCTTTTGGATTTGGTAGCACTGCAAATGACTGCAGGGAGAGAATTCAAGCTCCTCAGAATTCCTCAAGCTTACCAAGTGCCCAAGAAAATACACCTGGGATGGATCCATTGTGGCTGTAGATCAGTACTGAACCATGCTTGTTTAGAGACAGAATTTGCATGCTGAATTTTTATTCTGGAACCATAATCAATTTTCAAACACACAAAATCCCCTCCCAAATTAACCTAATCACCTCCAGTGATGTAAACAGTAACAGAGATACGATGGTTTTCCCTGCAGGACTCTCTATGCTCTTGTGGTGCTGTGTTCCTTCCTGCCCACAGCTGCCCTGATTGCTACTGTTATACTCCTCATCACCACTTACATGAGAAGGAAAAGGGCAGGTAAAGCTCCCTAATCTTCTTGTCTAGTTTTTCTGCCCCTGCATCTTGTTGTCCCACCACCCTGAATGTAATGAAGGTCTCTTAATAGCAATCATTGTCCACAGAGGCAATGAGGCTGAGCTGAGAGTGAGAAGCAAGACATGAGTTAAATTGCAGGGAAGAGATTATAGGTGCAGTGATTTTTAAAATGCAAAGGTAAAGGTTTTACACTCAAAGGAGATTCTGTCCTTCATGGCAGGAAAAGGGATGGACTTTGGCAGACATCCTTCTTCCAGCCGAGCAGCACTGCAGGTAAGACACTGTCAGAAATCCCACATTCCTTTGTTTGATCCCTGTCCTGCTAACCCACATAGATGAACTAAGACTCATATTCAGAAGCAAAAAGCGCCAAGTTTCTTTTTAACTTCTCCTTCTTCATGGTTTCTCAGAAGGACAGAAGAAACAAAGCAAGTAGGATGCCAGATGGGGAAGTGAATGATAGTACAACATATGCTGTCATAAGGCACCAACCTCCACTGAAGCCTGAAGATGTTATCTATGCCAATTTGCAGCCTTCACCTCAAGTTTTCTTCCACACTCAATGTAATCCAGTTTCCTCAGGGCCTCTGGAATATGCTACTGTTGTTTTCAAAGCCACAACTCCACATTCTGGAACAGAAAACAGAAAAACAGGTTCATCTAACCAAAGCAGCACAAAGCCCTGGGGCTTATTCACAGAACTTTGCTGAAGTAGAAACAACCCATTTGTAACCAGTGGCTTAAACTGGATAGATAAGGAGTGTGAGGCAGAAAGCAGCTGAAAGAATGCACAGACCTTCCCTGGAAAAACAACTGCACTTTTCTAATAGTACAGCACCACAACCCAGCTATTGGTAAGCAAATCTAGTGTAAGACAATGGTGCCTTTGCTTTTTCTAAATTGTTTTATAGAGGCAACTCTAAACCCAGCTACAGGAAACTGGTTCTCTCTTGTTGCAGCTGATACAGCTCCAGTCAGCAACGGGCTGAGATACGGGAACATGTTGCTTCCTTTCAGACTTTCAACTCCAACAGCTCACTTAAATACTCATATATAAATTGTTAAGTATTGCCCGTTCTTGTAAAGTCCAAGTCAGCAAGAGAAATTGCTTTATTTTGAAAATATGAGTCGTTTCATGGACTTCAGAGGGACAAGTAATGCATTTGACATGTTGTAGTAAACAAGGGTCTTGTTGAAAAACATTTTTCTGCTACAGTGCACAGTGTCTACAGCTTGTACAGAATTTACACTCAAAGCTATTTTTTTTTACAAAGAAATAACTGTATTTTCTTGCCTTTTTTGCTTTGTGTTTATTAATGCCACACCCCTACTCCAGTATAAATCTATCTTGACTTTATTACAAATTACACATATTTTGATCAAGCTACCAAATCTGTTATCATGGTGATATGTGCAAAGATCCATTGGGGATTATGGATAAATCCCAAAATTAATCTGATTTAGATATTCATCTTAATTCTGTGAGTTGGGCCTAAGGATGCTGATTACAATACAAAAACAGCTTTAATTTTTTAATGTGAAGATTGTAAGTAGACTCTAGCTTAGGTACTGAGTGGTGTGGGAGGGTAAAACAGCAGAAAAGAAACAAATGAATCACATAAACCCCACTCTGCCTGTGAGGACTGTGAGATGGGGAAAGAGAGAGAAAACGGGGGAAGAAGGAAATTCTGTTGAGAATCTGATATGGCTACACGATAGCAGGATTTTTTGCATCCTATCAGGGATGATTTTGTCCCTCTAGAGCAAATTCTCTGGAAATAAATTTAGGAAAACCCACAACAATAGCTAAAGAACTCAATTACTGGCTTGCTAAACTGGCTTGCGTGATTCCAACTGTTCATTTCCTGCCCCAACTTCCCCTTTGCTTTTCTTGTTATTTCTTTTTCTTTTTTTGGTCATCACTACATTGACCATGTCTGGAAAGAAAGGAACACCATTAAGGCTTCCACTGCAAAAGAAAGGAAGAAACACTAGAGTCTTTGGAGTAAAACTTGCCTTTTTTGTTCTATTTGTTGCCAGCTAGTGACATCCAGGTGTGTTTTCAACCTCTGCTGGCAGAGAGATGCTTTTGCACCATGAGGGCAAAACCAGCCCCCCAGAGCTGCGTAGTGACTACTCTTCCTTCAAGAACAAGGCATATAGCTATAAACACCTGTGAAGTTCAGTGTATCCCTTCTAAAAGGGTATCTCTCCCAAGAAGACAGGGAAAAAAATAAATAGGCAGAACATTATATTTTGCTTTTTTTTATATGCCTGCTTTTAACCCAAAGAGCTTTGAAACCTGTAAACATTCACAGCAACTGTTTCAAGAATCCTGTGGTAACATACAACTGCTCCATACCTCACAAAGACTGCCTGACATTGCGGGACCTCAGCCTCAATAAAAGTATTTATATGTTATTGCAGGGTATGTTTAAGTTATAATACTGTTGAGACATTCTGAGCAGCACACGTAGAAGAAAACAGCCTGAGAGGGATCAGCAGGCAGACATGGAAATGGACTGACTGTCCCTTAAACCTTTCAAAGGCTGCCCAAGCCTTTTAAGAGGAAAATTTGCTTTTGTGCCAAAGCACAAGAAATAAGCTCTTTCTAAAGGTGTCCTTTCAGTCATATTTGGCCGAAAAAGATAATGATGTGATACTTGGGAGTTTGGGGACAACAAGAAAACACTTTCCAGGAGGGTAACTAAGAATATCGAGGATTTTATGTCTTAGAAAGATGTTCCTGTTGGGTAACGTGAGGTTGAACCATTATCTCTTATGCAATGGTGTGCAGAAGGGCATGGAAGGGGCACAGTGTGGCTATTAGACATGTTTCCCTTCATGAGTAGAATAGTTTTCCTTAGAAGCAAGAATTGCTGTGTATCCCATTTCCTTCCAGCGCAGACTCACCGACCGCTGTCCCCACACCTGCAGGGCAGACAGAAGCCACGCTGGGCTCCCTTCCTTCAGCTCCGTGCGGCCGTTCCCCAGCTCCAAGAGGGTCACAGCAGCTCCCACAGCCTCCGCTGGGACAGGCAGGAGCTCCTGGCAGCTCTGCGGGGCTCCCTCAGGCCATCCAGCTCATGCCCCTCCCTCCAGCCCCCCACCCTGGGCCAGTGAAGACAAGATGGAGGCTCCCTTCACCAGCCAATCAGAGCAGCACCCAGCGCGGGATCCAACCAATGAGCATCCGGGGCGGGAAAGACCAGCCAATCAGATCGCAGCGCCCCCCCCCAGCAGCAGGCAGAGCAGCCCCCTCAGGCAGCAGAGGGAGGGAGGGAGAGAGGACGCCAGGACGTCTGGTCCTTCCTGACGGGGCAGGAGAGCAGCAGCCTCACCTGCTTCTCCCCCAGCTTGGAGGGGCTGCTTCCCCCTCCTCCTCCTTCCCTCCAGGAGACCTTGTTGCCCTTCTCCAGCCCTTCTGCCCTTCCCCAGCCCTGCTCAAACTCCTGCCCCCTTGACAGCAAAGACCAGAAGGTCCGAAAAAACGGAGCCAGAGCTCGGTCTTCAATTTATAAATTTTTATTAGCTGGAGAGTGTACACAGTACTTACAATTGCATCTATTAAAGACCGAAATACACTTGAAAAAATGCGGCATATAAAAAAAAAAATTATAAACTTTTCAACTATGTACAAACGTCGCGTGAGGTTAAATCTCAGTACCCACCCAAGCCCCTTCACAAAGAAAAGGTTTTCTTTCCCTCCTCCCCCTCTTTTTAACATGCAAGGCCTTAATGAGGACCATTTTCCACATCCCTTTCTTTACACGCATATAAACCTGTTTTTTGATCAGTTTGCCACTCTAGTGCTCTCTGGGTCAATTGACAACGTTTCTCCCCAAGCCTCTTCTTTTATCCTCATCCACTCTTTTATGCACTCCCAAAGTGGAGTTTTTACTCAAGTGTAGCCAATCCACAAAGAATTCTCATTTAATTACTCACCAGATTTGAACTCAATGATGTTTCCAATTTTAGAAATTTACCCAGGAAAAAAAAAACAACAGACTTTTTTGGTAACATGGTGTTGACCAATAACTCCAATCTCCAGAAGCAAACTTTTAGAAGTGAATACACATAACCCAAAACCAATGAAAAATATGACAGGAGCACTCAGGCTTTCACATCACTTAAGTATTAACAATAAGACTTCCTATATAACACAAATCCATAGGTCTTAATACACATTCTACAATAACTGATCAGAGAACCTATATATGAAGGGCTTATTGGGAAAAAAAGTTCTAGCTGTTCTGAAGGCATTTACAAGTAATTACTCATGGGAAAATAATTCTTATGTCAGAGCAATACTCTTGCTTCTAACTTCTAACCCTCAGAGAGTCCTCTAGGACAGAGATTAGCCTTCAGCTGAAGAGCAGAAACATTATGGAGAGGCTTTCTTCCTCCAGCACTGAAATAGTTCTCCCACACGTGAAAACACCACGGTCAACATGTATAGATGCTCTAAAAAAATATTTACAATAATGCTGCCAATTCAACTAAAGCAAAGTTTTTGTTACTTCTTCACTAAAAGAGCTACATTATTTCCTGAAATGAATAACCTTGTATTTCCACGAATAACCTCACCAGAAAGGCTAAGTGAGGATTTCTGAGCCAACACCTGCAAACAAAAACAAGCACCATGCTCTAATTGACCAAGTGTTTTAAGGCAGAAGGAACCAAAGGCACCAAAGATGCCATCAGTGCAGTGGAGGCAACCAAATGCCTTCTGAATCATTAGAAAAAAATCCTAATTTAAGATTTGTGAGCAAAGCATTAGATTACTAATATAATTCAAGACAAAATCAATCAATTTATTTGCACATCAAGTACTAGGCCACCCACAGCTGCAGGTTTCACTGTGTGTTTTTCTCAGCCTCAGTTCACCATGTCAGCTGTGGTAAAAACATGGAAATAGAAAATTTAGAGAGAAATAAAACTGATCTACATTTAGAAAATCCAGCTGTCTATCTACACATAACAAATCTGCATTTTTTCTTTCACTGGCTACACACCTCCATAGGTGACTGACCTAAACATTGTTATCTGTAGCATCTAGACAGGCAACTTCTTCCTCCAAGATTGCTTGCTGAAAATGTAGCATCTCACTTCTCCACATTTCTGCTCCCTGCTCTTGTATTCCTTTCCATCTTCTCATACTCTTAGGTCATAGTATTTTTCTCTTTGATACAAATTAAATAGTTTTCAAGGCTCTGTCTTTCGTATCCTCCCAGTTTTCTACAACTTGTTAATTTATGCTCCGTTTAGTCATGAACTTTCAGGAAATGGGAAAAACAAGAGGGAGATAATATGGGTTGTATTTTTCATGTTTCATTTACTTCATCACTTGAGAACAGAGTTCACTGACTTTAAACCAGTTTCTCCTCTCCTTTGATGCTTTCCTCAAAAACACCCCACCCTCTGCACCTGTACCTACCCAGGTTCACAATCCCCTCCCTCACTGACAGCCTGGCAATGTTTCCAATCCCATGCTTAGCTCCTTTGATGCAGTTTCATGTTTTGCAGACCCAAAAAAAGAACTCTCTACAGCACACAGGTGACACAGAGTCTGTAAAACTCATTCAAGATGGGAGGAGACAGGTATGGAAAGATGGAAGGATCACCTGTTAAAATGCTTCTGAACTACAGCTGCTATTGCCACATTTCAAATTAGTAAGAATGGAACAAGCTTAAAATCTGTAATGAGCTACAAAATTAAAGATACATCTTGTCAAGTTCCTCAGCCGGAAGCCAGATATAGGTCATGAAAAAAATCTGATTTATAAAATGTATGCACTCTTCCTTCATTAAGTGTCTCTTTTTATTTTTAATTTAGATAGTCTATGAAAAGCCTGAAAGGCTCACCTGCCTTCAGTTATGTTAAATAGTCCTTCAGTTGGCTCGGATGAGTTGAGCCTTCTGCTTCTGCTGCCATAAACCACCCTTGTTCTGTGCAGAATGAGAATTGCAGAACTGATGTGGAACAGACACCAAAAAACACCATCACAAAGCTGGTCAAGTGCTGTCACTGAGATTGCAGATGTTGTGTCTTTTGGA